GGAAACCTGCAACAGATGCTTTACAACGGACAACAACGGCAATAACACTTATATCTGGTGGAGAAAAAGATAATGTTTTACCCACATCAGCTTCCGCTACTATTAATCGTAAGCAAAAAATTAAAAATAGAAAAAAAAAACAAATGATTAAAAAGTTTGCAGACTAGACGCTTGATTACTTCTTACTCACGGGACAGCGTTTTCAACCGGTGAAAAGCTAAAATTTTGTGCTCGTTTACAATATGAGCTTACGAATTTTGTTCGTGATTAGTGAAATAACTTTCGAGAAGCTTTCAAAAAAGTGTTTAGACCAAACTTGTGAGCCAACGTTTCTGATGAATATATTTGTTAAAGCATTTCAAACGAACGGAAAACTATAGGCTCCGACTAGAATTAAAATATGAGCTTAGAAACTTTGTGTCTATCTTTGTTAAGAGTAGTGATGATCTTTTTGAAAGACTTGATTTATTGTTTCTTAAGGTCAGCTTAGAGGTTGTCGTTTTCTCTATTACTTCCTTTCTGAGGTAGCTAAAAACTGTGGAAGCCGTTCGTTTGGTAGAATGGACACTTCTCTACAAAATGCGATATTAGACTAAGCTATATCTTTTACGGAGCGAGGCTACTAGTATTTTTTCCGGTATAAAATGGTTGTCGAAAAATAAAAGAAAACTTCAAATAGTGCTTTTTTTAGAGTAACTTTTGATTTACAAGTTGAGATATAAATGAATATCTCAACTGTTAATTTCGAATCGTAATAGTGAGAATACAAAAACTTTCCATCCAAATTTATTTGTTTGACTTTCAAGATTATCTCACAGTTCTCGAACAAAAACTGACGAAGTGGAAGTCCCTAACTTTCTAATGATTTCATTCATTAAATATGGTGGATTATCAGTAATTGACCATGCTGATTTCGAATATCAATACGAGACTGATAGATAAGACATCAGAGACACATTTCTTGAAAACTAGTTCTTTCAGAGAGGAACCTTTTGCGTTAAAAAAAATATTTTGGACCGTCTAGATTGTCGACTATGCCGTCTTGACTATAAAAAATTATCTTTCTCCATTCGACAAATACTACTGAGATAACTAAAACTATAATCTTTTCTCATTTCTTTTGAATTTTATAGTAAAAAAAGATGACTATATTGTTCGTTAGGTCCGTAGGTAAAAGAAAGAATTATATTTCTCGATGTCTCAGTAATGATTCACAAATGCAAGCAAATAGTGTTTTGTAGTTAACTTGGGGTGCTCTACAATCTGAACTGATCAAAAACGTTTTTGATGAAAACATTTTCTCGCTAGGAAAGACTGGTTTTCGAGAGATAGATCTCTAAAGTTCAACCTGCTGATATCATATTGATATTTAGAATCGGTACGATGGATTACATGTGACCCATTAGATACATTGAAAAAGTGATTAGACAGTTGGAGACCTTTCGGCTTGAGACCGAGTTTCTAAGTTCATAGTCGAAAAGAACCATGGTGGCCAAATCCAAAACTCAAAATTCCGACTATGTTTTTCAAAATCAAAAAACAATTAGAATTTTATTAGGTGTTATGCTAATATGCTGATAGCAAATGCTTTACTATTATTCTTTTTAATCGACCTATACTTTATATTCATAGATATTCTTTTATAAAGAAACAAAATGCAATAACTATATTGTTAAGTTAATACGAAAGCACGAAAGACACTTAGTGTCGAACTCTTTCACTAGACTCAAATTTCATTTACAAAAAATGTTCAACATCGAACGAAACACATATCCTGTAGGTTAAGAAATTCTATGACACAAAAATAAGTTATATAATATCGCTTTGATACTATTGTTCATATTTTCTAGTTTTTAATTATGCTTTAACAAGTATGCATGAGTTAAAATATGTATATAAAATTGTTTATAAGAATAGTTACTATTTATTCTAATATTAAATTAAGAACCATTACAGTAATGAGTTATAATTATATGTTTCGTCATTATGGAAATTGCAATTTAAAAAAGTTCAAAATTTGGAAGAAAACCAAAAAAATTGAGCAGAAAGTATTCAGAAAAGTTTTCAAAATCAAGAAACTTTCCATTTTTTCAGAAGATCTGGCCACCCTGAAAAGAATACAGAATCAAAGCTTTTCACTGGTCCGAAATACTTTCTAGCGATGCCAAAGTAAACAAATATTTTATTCCAAAATTTTCTGATAATCCATTCTATCTTTCTATGTCTTATAAACCAATTCGTACTTTTATTTTATTTAGATCGTATTCATACAGCTGATTCGTGTCGACAAATTACTGAAAATAATCGTCGTATAATCAATGATGATCGTCTTGTTCCTCATATAAAGGCATGTGCAGAACCGTCACCTATATCACCATATGGTAAACATATTTATGCATATCGTATTCTTGAACAAACAATACGTCAAACATTTGAAAGAGATCGTCAACCTGTTATTGTTGTACCTGGTTTAATGTTAGGTGCAACAGATAGTAGATCATATACAAATTTATCAAAAAATTTATATCGTTATTCCCCATTTGTTTATGGTGATGATGATTTAGGTCGTCTTCATGGTGATAATGAACGTATAAGACATAGTGATATGCAGCGAGGATTAAATTTTTATTTTCATCTTATTGTCAACAATCAACTTGAAACCATACCTGAAACAAAATTAAATTCAGAACTTTAAGATGACATGTTTTTTCTTTGGATTTATTTAAATAGATTCTATATACGTATTTTTTTAATCATATGATAGAAAAGCATTTTTTTTTCATTTTTGGATTATTGATTAATAAAAACCTTTTTGAGCTTCAACGGTGTATTGAAATGATATAGTTTGACGCATATCGTTCATTTCAAATATAATATATGGTGATTGTCTATCATTTTGTATTCACTTTCATCTCCAATTACCTTCAACATAGACAACCAACACAGTAATCGACCGATTTCGTTCTCTTTTTCTTTGTGTTCATTTATATGTTGTATTATATTTGTTCGATTTCTTTATACACACATGTATATTCTTATCTCTGTACTCCTTTACATCGTTTATGCATGATTCACCATATCACCTCAATAGTCAACATTAATATTACAATCAATATTTCGTCATTTTCTTTGTTGTTTCGTATGTTGTAATTTATTCTCATCGGTACCGCCCTATATATTATATAGAAATGAAATTGAATACCGCCTTGTGGGGTTGATATACATTCATTCATTGGTATTCATTCGTATGTCTATATGCGAGCACTAT